AATTAAAAACTGCGTAAATCGATGAATTTTCGTTATTGTTATACTCTTTTTATTATCGCTTGCCGCAAGGATCGATATCGTTGATTTTTATCAACCGGCGATTTACCTCGAGCTTCGAGGCAAGGTCGTCTTTTCTCTTCTGTATTTATTTTAGAAAACAACAAAATGAAAGAAAGAAAAAATATCACGTGTATCGTGCTGCTACACGCTGCGAGCCGTTTAAAAAATCTATACACCACTAATCACGCTCTGGAAGCTTCACGTGGTGCGCGAGCGAGAGACCGACTGATGACTCATCAGCTTTCTCTTCTCTGTCACGACATCGCGTGCTGCTGCTGCTGCTCGTCTCTCTCCTAAAACAGCCCGAAAAGATATTATACCTACACTAATACTGCACACACACGTACTCCGGTGGCCCTTGAAAAGAGCTGCGCACTGCGTATATATATACAGCTCATAGACATGTAATATCGAGACGGGGTGCGTCGAGCGCTGAAACTTGATTCTCGAGCGCAGGAGGGATGTAAGCGCGCGTTTGCGGATGCGGCAAGTGCTGCTGCTGCTGCTGCTAGAAAGGGTCATTCTCAATGGAGCGCCGGGGATTTTATGGATTTTAAAGTGCTTCGGGCGCTGTATACGTAAACTTGAAATAAAAATACACGCTTCGAAAGGAATAAAATATTTAAACGGAAGTTATAAGACGATGGTGGGTTTCCAATGGTTCTTTGACGATCTTTGATAAAAAAATATAGCCTTTTTAGTTTATTCATCGAGCGTCTGATATAAATCGAAGGAAAATTGTTTCAATGCAGTCCATGAAGATATAAATTACGAAAAACATTATTCGCAGCTGTGCAGATATATATGTATGACTTTCTATAATTTTTTACTCAGACGTTCATTGTGTTCTAAGACAATAAAATATTTTTCCGTCGCATAACGCGCAGTCGACTATGATCTTTTTTTGTTTGTTAAATATTATGATTAGTTCTGGCAACAATTACCGGACTCGTGCATAACATTACTGTAACGAAGATCGGTCAGAGCACAATGGGTTATTTTGCATTATTATGCTCTGCGGCTTAAGTGAAAAAGCACCGACTGCACCGGCGCGCGCGCGCACGGAGGGCAAAAAAGAAAAAAACCAATCAGGCGAGAAAAAGTATGAATGCCGCGCGCGCGTCTACACTTTGTATATAAGAAAATATTTTTCTGTAAGTCACAGTCCATTGTTGGCTCTATCCCTCTCGTGCAGAGACGCACCGAAGACTGATTATACGCGAAAAGCAGCCGGCATGAAATGAAAAATGTATATATACTCTGGTGCGAGGGGTATATGCACCGCTTTTTAGAGTAATCTATATATTTTGACGAGACGCAAAAAATGATTTTCTGCGGGCTACGTATGAAAGCGGATAAACCTCGTGCAACTCACCGAGCTATGAGAAGAGACCGAGTAATTGTTAGGCCTTGTTTTCTTACTTCAGCTAGTGACAATCTCAGTTTCAGAATATTTAGCAGATTTATAATATATATTTTTTCTTATCCTTTTAAAGGATGAGTATATCAAACTATAACGGGAAAATTTAAACAAAAAATTAATAAATTAATCAATTTTTTTTTCAAAATATATTTATTTGAATTATTTACATCTTATTTAGGTACGCTACAAATTACAATTTTTTTCGCTCTTTCTTCACGTAATCGTGATTCTTCAATTTTTCGCCTTTTTTCAGCTTTTTCAATCTTCACAGGACTCTCGTTAATACGTTTTGTTCTTTTTTTTTCGTCTTTACACTCTTTAGCCGTCAAGCAAATATTATACAAATCCTCGTTGCGCAGCTGCTCGAAGATCATTTCGCAGCACTCTACGGGCAGCCGATAGTGTATCAACTCCAGGAAAGGTTCCAGCGCCCAGGTCCGATAAAATCCTCGCAACAGTCGCTCGGACACGCGCGCCAAACAAGCCTCGGCGTACTCCTCGTCGAGAGAACATTTCTCGTTGCGTCCCAGAAAATCCAAGCAGTCGGTGTACGTGAATCGTTTCGCCGCCTCTTCGGGTCCCAAACGGGTCAGCTCGTAGAACGTCAGATTCGTTTTCATATTTATCTTGCTCATCGCTTTCTCGAACTTCTTGTCGTTGTCGAGCAAACGTTGTTGCTGTAATTCACATCGAATCTGTCGTAAATGCTGAGCAGCTTACGAACCAAAATTTTATTTTGGTACGTTGGAATGTAAAATCTCCTCGCGGGATGCAGTGCCGTGTTGCGGCTCAACAGCGGCTCGCCGTCTTTGTCGACGTCCGGCTCGTCTCTGTAGCCGGTGCTGATCACGAACTCGATGAATCGTTCTCCGGGATAATTTTCATCGTCACTTACAGCTCCACTTAAAGCGCCGTGCGTTATAGCTTGCGCGATGAGCCGATCGATTTCTTCGGGCCGAAACATATCACGGAGATTCGGTAGCGGGCCCGTCCAATATCTGAATATTACCAAAGCTTGACGATGAAATTCGCGTCGCATTTCTTCTATCTCGCCATCGACCCTTTCTTGTAATTTCTTCAGTTTTTTCACGCTATCCACTAGATCCATTGCTGATAAACTCGCGAACATCACTCGGTCACTTGCAATAAAAAATAAATGTTCACTTTTCAATCACTCGATGCGGACGATGAGCTCCACTCTCGTTGTTTCAGCTTCAGAGTTACAACGTGTTGTACCGACTCCACATGCAATACGGTTATATACTTACGTAGAAAAAACACATGCCACATGGTCGAGTGGCTGATTCGAAACTAATATAGCGCCAGGCACCAAAATGTCAGATGCGAGTTGCGTAAACGAGCCCGATATGACGAGAAAATAAAGCGAAGACAAAATATGTAGCTTTGAAATTTACATTGAAAAATAAAAATTCCCTAAAATATAGAAAGTTCAATGTTCATATTTCAAAATAACGAAATTCTTTAAGTGACAATACCAATTTTAGTGGACTTTTTATGTAGCTGAACACATTTTTGTAATAACATTGTATGATAATCAAAATTTTTCCTCTGATTTCAGATCGTTATTAAATACACACTGAAATAAAAATGAAGCCAGCTATATAAGGTAAGACAAGTACATTTTTCACGTTCAAAATTGTATTTTTATCTACTAATCATTACCAGAATCATAGGTGTTCCATTGCAAGTTATAATTTTACATAAATATTCAACAATATTACTCACACTCCTTGGTAGAAATTCTCAAAAATTTTTACAACCCAAGACAAGTGAAGTATTAAAGTAGTTTACTGTCCTTAAACATACAAGTGTATTCATCATTTGAAGATTTACAGTTTGCGGTACTCGCCCTCTAGTGTTAGAGACATGAAGCTTTATCAGTATTCAAAGTTAATTTAAAAAAAAAAACAAATCAATTTATGACGATGATATATTTTAAAACTTTTGAAATGAATTTGTCTGTCCTTGGGCGACTATTATTGTTGGGAATTTCTACCAGAACCGTATATCAATATTTTTTTCAATTTTATTGCTATCATTTTCGAATAAAGTCATGTTTTCTCGGTGCACTTCTTTTGCTCCAGACTACGATTCTATTTGATAATTATGAAGCATAAGAAAGACAAACATTCATTTAGAATCTGTCGGCATGTTGAGTGACGAAATTTCATAAATCTTATTAAATTCGCGATCAGAGTAGCCCCAGACAGCAGCACGTGCGGCTTCCAGTTTTAAAAATCTCCAGTTATTATAACTGACTCGTTTACGTAGGCGGTCTTTTCGCGAATCTTTTCTATCCTTTGCAGTATGATATTTAGCCGGGATTAAAATTATAGCCTTGTACAATACTCGACGCAGCTTCCAATGCTGCTGCGGCAAAATAATAAGAAAAATAGATAGTAATTTACATTCTCGCTGTATTGATTTGGCTCTTGGCTTATACGCATTATACTTATCACGTACATCGATAAAACGTATAAAATTCCTGCATATTTCATTACTTCTCGTTGACTTTGAACATCGCGTTGTTCGTCAAGACTTTCAATTACTCCGATCTAATATCTCGGACCGATACGGCAATCGTCGAATTAATTTTGCTCCCTGGCTCGTCGAGCGAACTTTTGTCTCGCGCGCGATGTGCAATGCTCTGCAGCTTGCGAGCTGCTACTACTGTGTGTGCCGCGGCGGGACACAAGGTCAGGGTTCACGCACGCGCCTCTCGGGATCGATGCTCGCCAGAGCTATCTTCTTCTTCTTCTACATGCGTCCTGTATATACGCGGGTCTCAGCTCGCACAGACTACTGCGCGCCAGGACCTCGTGGTCGGTCGCGAGATTTCGAATACGTTCTAGCTCCCTCGCGCGACCAGTAGCAGCAGCAGCATCAGCTGAATCGCGTCGCTATAGAAACGCGTACTATACGATTTGCTCCGTGCTCGCGCGTGCTTGCGTTTTGACCCGCCGTAGCAGTAGTAGCAGCAGTCGGCGCGACGTACAACACATTGTATATGCATCGTGTGCTCGGGCGAGCGGAGCATCTTTTTTGTGGCTCTTGACAACAGGTGTGAGCGCGCGCGACCGAGTATCTTCTCCGATCCTTTCAGCGAATTTTCGTTGATGAAAGTGCGCGAGTTTCGAATTCAGTCGTTTCACATCGAGCAAAAGAGTGAATTTCTTTTTCGAGGGATCCGAACGTTCTTGTTGTTCGCTTCTTATGTCACTCGAGCCTCGAACCTCCGCCACCTCGGTATATAATAACGGTGTATACATCGAACGTAATCGAAACCCAAGTTTCACCCTCGCTCGGCTCAACGAGTCACGCACGCATCAGCCCTTGCAGCAATAGCACGACAAAGGGTTTTTTTTTTCTTCTATAAAAATTGCCCGATACGTCGTCGTCGTCGTCGTCGTCGTCGTCGTCGTCGTCGTGTGGCTGACAAAGAGTTTAAGAGCGAGAGAAGCTCGTCGTCGTCGTCGTCGCAACCCTTCCAGCTCGTTGGGGAACAAAAAAAAAAACTTCCGAGGCGCATGGCTTAATCAAAGAAATCGTACACGAGAGAGCCCTTTTTTGTTGCAAGACTCGTCGCTGCTGCTCAGGGTCAGGGCTACGTAGCCTAGCTCTGTCTCTCTCTCTCTCTGGCTCTGGACACACGCACTCGTGAGAGTCTATACGGCTCGAGGGGGGTCTGGTGCGCGGCGCGCATCGATCGCTTCTTCGAGAGCTTTCGCGCGCTTGATCCCGTGCTGCTGCACTCTTGTATTATTGTATACGTATAGTCGGTGGTCCCCCTCCACTCACGCGCGTCGTGTGCGTCATGTGCGTTTGACAGTTGGCTGTTGCTGCTGCTTTTATACCCCGAGAATCTTCAGTCCTCCGTCGACTCGAGAATTTTTCATTTTCCTCTCGCTGAAAAAAAAAAAAAAAATAAAATAAAAGAAAACGATGACGAAAGCACGATGCTCTGTTGGCGGCGAGTGAAGCCGATCGAAGCCAATAGCGAATTACCGATTGGATTCTGGTCACGTTTGCGCGTCGAAGCGACTAACGCGAGGGCCTGTCGGCTGCTGGCCATGTTGTTCCAGGAGGACAGCTCGGACTCGGAGTCGGACTCGTCGTCGGATTCGGAGGTGGCGAGAATGGCGAGCGCGACGGCGGCCGCGTCGCTGCCGACTCACGGCGTGCCGAGTCACTCGCAGCCCGGTCACGGCCCGCTCAGCTTCATGGGTTGCATGAGGGAGGCCTCGCCGCCGCCGAGATTCGAGGATACGTCCGCGACGACGACGATTCAGCATCACAATAATCATCATCAGCATCATCATCAACACAATCATCATCATCATCATCGGCCGCCCGTTGGTTTGCCCATCGGCGCTGACTTTGCGCACATATCCGCCGCTGCTGGTCATCATGCTTTCGACTCGATACCCAAAGGTGAGTGATTAAATTTAATAATGCATAGTTATATCTATACTCGTTCTCGTGTTTGTACAAATCGAATGAGTGTGTGCATACACTTGAACTTGATCTTCGATATAAACGGCCACATGCGCGACGAGAGTCGAAAGTATTGCCTATTCGCAGGCGCGCTCCTATTTACCCAGCTTGTTTTCTTTAAAATGAAGCAAAAAAAAATTAAACGTTCCTTATTTTCCTCTCGGACTTTTTATCGTTTACGATTCTGCCGCATTTTCAAGTCCGAATGAAACTCGCTCTCTACTTCATTTACTTTTATAACTATATAAGCCGAGCCTATAAAAACTATTTGGCGAAAAAATGCCGTAATAAAACTAAGCGTCGCGAAACAGTTATAACTCGGCATCGAGCGCGTGCTTTAATAAGATTTCAGTCGCGATGAAAACCGCCAGATTACAATCAATCGCAGGAAAATTTCGTGCTTTATTTTTTGAAATCCATCGCTGCGGGCGAAAATTAATTTCAACGTGTTTTCGTCAATCAATGGACAAAGCGATGAACGAGCCGAAAAGCTGCGATACAGCGCGCGCGATGTCAACTTTTCTCGATATTTATCAAAATCGATCGCAGCGGCGCGCAGGCGCCACTCAGTCAGCTGCTGCTGCTACAGTTCCATTGCTGACCTGGAAAAGTGGAATGGGGTCAGGATCGCTCGTTGTACTTTGGTCCTGTACTGTATATGTACTTCGGCGCGTCGAGCATGTGTATTATGTATGCATACATACATACACACGCAGCTGTTCTCTCTCTCTCTCGATGAGAGATTATCATGATTTTCAAAGGCCGAAACTGGCCTGGCCTGCGAGGCTCGAATCGTGCGGGTATTATACATATTATAGACAGGCCAAGGGTTCGGGATTAGACTCGAGAGATTCAATCACGCTGATAACGATACACCGCATTTCGCGTTGCTTTATAAGGAAATTCCAATGACCCTTTTGAAATTGAACGAGATCGGAATCGAGGGAAAATCTCCATATAAACACGTCGATAGAATTTCTTCCTTGTAGAGCATCTAGCCGGAGATTTAATGCGCCGATAGTCGATCTTTTTATTGAATATATAGGCTAAATAATTTACTTTATCTAACATTTATCCCTCGGCGTGCTGTACTCGACGACGTTCAAATTGTTTCGTTCGTTTCGAAAAATGAAATACAATTTTAGTACCCTTTTTTTTTGCACAAACGCGTCAAATTTACAAACGTTTATTGCGGTTCAGCTCGGTGAATATTCATCCGATATTTGTCTGTTATATTTATGCATTCACATAATGACGCCTATAAAATGTGCGTTTTATATTCAAACGAATGCCGCTTGCCGCCTCTTTATTTTTCCACAACGTACCGAGACTCTCGAATCTAGTTCACCTACTTTTTTTTGCCAGAGCTTTATCGGCTGAAATTGAACCGCGTCCGAAAGAAGAGTAAAAATTCAAATCCGTATAAAAAAGTTCGATAGAAATAATTTCTTCTTCTCGCGCCCGGAGAGAAGAAACTTTGGACTTGTTCAAAAATTCATAATGGCACTTACGAACGATAAGTTCATTTGTACGGATTAGCATGTATAGTTTAGCATCAGTTTTACATCCAATTAATTATACTTTGACGCTCGCGGCGCGCACGAAAAAGTTTCGTATTATTATAACGGACGCGCGTGTGTGCAGTCTCGCGAGATCGCGAAGGTGCTAAATTAGTCATCGGATACACGTTAAATCGCAAAAAGTGTGTAATTAACTTTTAAGATATTACGGGCGCTTGTAAAATCGCGGAATTCTCACAGTAGAGGTTTTTCTTCGACCTCCAGAAGCAGCAGCACCGCAAACTTTGCGCGTGGGAGCATGAAATACAAGAGCTGTAGTGGTAGTACAAGAGGAAAAAAGAAGAAGCGCGAATCAGTCCACCGACGAGCGGATGATAATTTCACCGAAGCTCGAGAGTATAACGTATATAGTCGTCTCCCCCGTGCGCAGCTCCGAGAGTCAGACTGTACACTGGCATTTGTTACGTGTCATGGACTTTTATAAAGCTTCTCGCGCATATCGCTCCGTCGCCGCGACGACGACGACTACTACTACTGCTACTATCATTCGGAATGAGTTCGGTTAAGCCGCCCTTGGCTTTAGCTGAAAGAGAGAGAGAGTAAAAAAAACCGACTTATCCCGCGCGCCTTCGTAGCGGGATCGTTTAATCACTGCTATAGTCGATGTGCATCATCACGATGTTCTCTTTTGGATTTGGGGAACAGAAACACGAATCGGATATGCAGAAGCCATTTATACTTTTCTCGAAACGTCGAAATCATTTTCTTGGATCGTTTACGCGTGAAAATGCGTATTTTCTCGTTGTTGAGCACCGATATATAGGCCATTTCCCTTTTTATCATAATATCATCGCTGCTCGGCGACACGTGAATTACTCGCGCTGCGTCGCGTCGCGAGCCGCCGAAAGCTGCATCATCCGCGGCGAATAATTGCACGACACATTTTCACGCGATCCTCCGTTCACGCGTCGCTGAGCTTGTATTCATATATATAGATACACCTTACTCCGCGGCGAGTCTATGGGAAGGACGTGCTCCGAATCGTCACGGATCGAGGCTCTTCTGACTTTTTTTCTTCTCTCTCTCTCTCTCTCTTCCTGTCTTCTTTTACAGTCTTGAAAATTACGTTTCGTTCGAATAGTATCGAACGGTTTCGTGGACTCTTAAAGAGTTCCGCGCGGCGTTCATTGTTGTAAATAGTTTAGCGAAAATTGTGAAAAATTATTTCGCGCGGCAGAGAGAGAGAGAGAGAGAGAAAAAAAAGTACACAAAGACGAGCGAGCGTTCTCACGAGTGGGTTCTGAATCGCGTACGGGAGAGAAAAGCTCAAAACAAATCACGTCGTACCATAAGTTCGATCGATTGTTTGATACAAATATCGTGTGCTCAGTCGTCGTTAGATTTTCGAGCTTATCACAGCTGACGGTGTGTCCAATCAATACATGTCACATCGAATTATCGTGGTTCAGATACGGTGGTGACTTTCCGAGTTTTATCAAAATATACCCACTTGAGATTTTTACAAATTTGCGTTGCCTTATATGTGCCGATCGCGTGTCCATAAACGAGCGGCGGCGGCGGTGATGCGCGAGCGGCGCTCCGAGACGTACTACCGATTCCACCGAGTGTTATCGAACGATATCGGTATGGTAGATGCACTGCAAGCGTAGTTCTCGCGAGAGTTGGAGAATTTTCAAGCCAGATGCCACCCGAGCGTAGACGTACGTGATGTATTGAATCGGTAACATCTTTTCTTGTTTTTTTTTTTTTTTTTTTTTTTTTTCTAAAGGAAAAAAAAACACCACAACAACGAGAGACACGCGTTAATCGATATGCATAAAACACGCGAATCCGATCGAGTATTATTTCAACTACCGCTCGATCGAGTTACGCGAGAAATTTTTCGACTCGTATGTAAACAGAGAGAGGCTGGCTGTCTCGGCAGCAGCTGGTGATCGATTGTTGATTTCAAAACATTTGTTTTGCGCTCGCGATCTTTCCGTGCCTATATCTTTGCCAATTTCGTGGCCTTTTGTTTTCTCAGAAAAAAACTATTTTTGCCTTCTTTTTTTTTAACGCAAACGCACGAATAATATTGCGATGCATGCTTTATCTGGTTGCAAAAAAAAAAAGATAAGATAGCGACTGAATAATTCAATATTCAATATTGTAAGGCAATTTTTTGTTTAAGAATCAAACAAACGGCATGGGTGATCTACATTGTACTAAGATGTTAATGCTCGAATCTAGAATAGTTTTATCGCGCACGATGTACGGATGATTATTAATGTTTGTCGCATTCGCTTCGAAACGTCGGTCGCGTTAACGACGCGCGAGCGAGCTCGCCGCGGGATCGTTTTTCTCTAACGATTTTTTTCCGGCGTATCGGTCGCTAATTTCTTCCATTTATCATCGAAAATAATAATTGAAAGATATGCACTTTAATTGAACCTCTGATAGAGCCATTTACATCGCGGACTAATATCGGCAATCGTATTATTGTCTCGATAGTGGAAAACGATCGAATTAGATTTGAAATTTCCGACTGCCGGTGCGCGACTTTTTACTCATAAATTTCGCATTAGATAAAAAAAAAAAGGAGCAATCAAATGGAAACTCGACGAGCATCACTCGCGTGTCAGTAATCTTATCGACGTTGAAATCTATTATCATTGTTCGCCTCCGGTATACACAACGACGCTCGCGTTGTTTAGTTTAGTTACAAGTGTCAGTGTTGGTGAATAATACACTCAATACTCGATTATGCTCGAAGCGTTCGATGAGTTGTTCGGTAATATTTTTAAGTAACTTTTTATACGTTTTTTAGCTTGTAAAAATTCGGAGTGAATAAATTTGTGTTGATGCTAGATGGTTTTAGTTTGAATTAAAATTTTTTTTACAAATTCGTTTGTGTTATTTGTAAAATTGAATTTGTGGACAGCGAATGAGTTGTTAGTTGTTCATTTTTCACAAAATAAATGGACCGGTTAACATTCAAGTTTTACTAAAATGTTTAAATTGAAGTTGTTGAATTGAGCATGAATATTGTTCACGACTTATCATTCAATATTTTTAATATTGTTACAGAGAATATTAAATAACAAAAAACACATGATCTTAATTGCATTTACTAGCTTATGTTTTAATATCAATATTACTAAGTAAATTATCTCACAATCGTCGTTTTAATGAAAAAGTGTTATCTTATTATCATTTTTTGTATAAATCGGAAAATTCTTCATTTGCAATTGTTAAAAATATAAAATAAGTAAGCTATTTATAAGTGACGATGAAGTAGATAAGTTTTATGATTTATACGGTCGATGAGAAGTTTTATTTTTCATTCGATGTTCGTTACACCTACTTGAATCTTTCATTGCTTCATCAAGTTTGGAAAATCGCTCTGAGATTAACGTAGACTTCATCAACCCTCTTATCTTTGCACATTCGACTCGTTGAACTGCGAGCACAACTTCCTCCGTATGAGATAAAAGAAAAATCTTTTTGTCTAAAACTCCCCTTCGGTTAATGCAATGGAAAAAATAAATTATGAAAGCTAGAGAGATTCGCTTTAAAGTCTACGTTTCCAATAGACGAGCTAACAAATAAGCTTTTTTTTTCAATGAACTTTTATTTTCACACCTATTTTTACTCTCGCACGTGTACAAAAATCGCTCGATTCGAAACTCGAATGCAAAGGGATGCTTTTACAATTATGAATTTTATCGAGAAAAAAACACTCGCGTAGGATTTTTTTCAAAAGAACTTGCGGCTGCTCGTTAATTTCGATTCACACTTGTTTAAATAAAACTTGTTAAAATTCATAATGAGGGGAGTGTATAAAGAGCCAATTTGAGTTCATTGAAATTTCGAATTAATGGAATGTTTGATACACTCTTTATTGAATTCTTTTCATGAATGATCGTCGCAATTGCATACGGATTTTTTAATTAAAAAAGCTGAAACGTTACTACGACCCTCATTCATCGTCTTTTGTGAGACCCCCCACTGTATCATATCAGACACGTTGATTTTAAAATCTCTAATCTGAAATACCATCCCCCGGCGCTTTTAACCCTTGCCGTATATTAGCCAATTTCTCATTCGTTTCAAGAGAGACTGCTGTTAAGCTTGCAATGAAAATCACAGGCTTTGTTTGCAGGCCAAGCTTTGTAGTGAGAGCGCATATTGCATGTGCGTACTATGTCTATATGCCTTCATTCTTTAAGCTTATTTTTCCTCGGTAAATATTGCAGTGAGCCCTTCAGCTAAGATCCAGTATCGATTAGAGAATTGAATATGCTTCATTTTCTTACAAAAATATTTTTATTTTTTCTGAACTGCAACTTTGCTTTTACATAATGAGATAACATTAGAGGAACTTAATTATAAATAACGATTTTTAAATTAATCTTTCGAACATTGTACATTTAATTGTATACGTTCATTAAGTTGTAATGTCTGAGTGATGCACCGAATCAATATGGACTTTGAGCCTTGATTTAAATCTGAATATCTTTCCACATGTATCACACGTATGTGTGACACCGTTATGCATCGCATCGATGTGGACTTTGAGACTGCTCTTACACTTGAACTTTTTTCCGCATGTGTCACACAAATGGGTGATACCATTATGAATCTGATCGATGTGATTTTTAAGACTGCTCTTATACTTGAAGTTTTTTCCGCATGTATCACACATGTGGGTGATACCATTATGCAACTCATCTATGTGACATTTGAGTTTACCTCTTTGTGTAAACGTTTTTCCGCAAGTGTCACATCTATGAGTGATTTTATTATGTACCGCACTAATGTGGACTTTGAGGTTACTCTTTGTTGAAAATGTGTTGTAACATATATCACATTTTGGTGCAAGTTTATTATGAACTGAAGCGATGTGTGTTTTGAGATAATTATTTTGTGAAAATGTCTTTGCACATACATCGCATGCATATCTGATACGATTGTGCACGTTATTCACGTGGGCCTTAAGATTACTTTTAGTTGTGAATTTTTTCTCGCAAATATCACACGTATATGCGAAATCATTGTGCATCACATCAATGTGGACTTTGAGATAGCTCTTATACTTGAACTTTTGTCCGCACGTGTCACACATATGGGTGATACCATTATGAAACCGATCGATGTGGATTTTAAGATTGCTCTTATATTTGCACTTTTTTCCGCATGTGTCACATGTATGGGTGATACCATTATGCAACTCATCTATGTGAATTTTGAGTTCACCTCTTCGTGTAAACGTTTTTCCGCAAGTGTCACATCTATGACTGATTTTATCATGCACAAATGTGATGTGGTTTCGGAGATTACATTTTGTTGCGAATGTCTTGTGACATATATCGCATTTTAATGCGAGTTTATTATGAACTGAAGCGATGTGTGTTTTGAGATAATTATTTTGTGAAAATGTCTTTGCACATACATCGCATTCATATCTTGTACGATTGTGCACGTTATTCACGTGAGCCTTAAGATTACCTTTAGATGTGAATTTTTTTCTACATACAGTGCACGTATTCGCGACATCTTTGTGCGCCGAATCAATATGGATTTTAAGATTAATTTTATGTGTAAATGTTTTTCCGCATGTTTTACATGTGTGGATGCTTCTGCTAGGCATCGTATCCACCTGTGCTTTGAGTTTATATTGATCGTCGGCCTTTTTTGTATTTCTGTTTTTTTTATCTCGTTCAATGAGTTCACACTCAAGTTTCAAATTTGATTCTTCAGTAACGTCACAAATAATTTCTTTTTTCACTTCCCCAGGGGGTTCTATTTTAATAATGTTTAGAGTTTTATCATCACTATCAATTACATTCCGCAAGTGATTTGGAGAATAATCGTCAATTTTCTTCACTGCTAATAAATCAAAGTTGGGCTTGACGTCTTCACATTCAACAACTATTTCCACTTCGTCATCAAGTTCACTTCCATGATTTTCTTCACATTTTTGAAGCGTATGGTTCTGTTTAAAAATCAAAGCAATGTGAGAATTTTCATAGCAAAAACAACAATTACAACAAATGTAATCAAACTTACCGAATTTTCTGGTGAAAATGATACCAGTTGAAAGTTTCTAAGATCGGGCTTCTCGTCAATCATTTCACTATCATTTTCAACAAGCGACACATGATTAGACTCCTGTTTCACTCTGAAATAACCTCAATAAAATCAATTTTGATGTTGTAATATTTTTACAATTTCATTCTCATGAAGTAAAAATTACCTAATGGCACAATTGAGTAAATCACTGCATTCCATATTTTTCACTTGAAATTTCGATAATAATTAACCTCTCCGTGATGATTTCACATATCAAACTAACCAAACACGAAAATACCGGCGAGGATCAATGTACTCTCTGCTCGCTATATTTTGGAAAACTGTGTCTGTGTGAAGAGCTCCAGCTTATGCTCGATCAGCTCCACGCACAGTCCTTATTGTAGCCTAGCGCTGTGGTATGCACGGCAAATCACCGCGCTAAGTGACACACACTGGCAGAGGTCATGCGCGACGTAAACAACAGAACGAGTATATGCTCTTCGCCAATCTTCTCGTTTATTACATTACAGCTTAAATTTTATGTTACGAAATTTCGAAGTTATTCATGTACACGAAGCAATAATATCTTATTAATAATTTATCAATCGTATTAGAGGAAAATCGAAGTACATCATGATGTGGTAAAAAGACAAAAGAGCTTCTTGCAACAAAGTTACGATGTACTCTCGCAATCAATCACTCGAATAATCCGCTTAATCGGAGAAAAACGTAAAATTGAAGAAAATTGATTCAGCTTTTGCACTCCCCGAGCTGAAACGAACTCGATCGCAGAAAAATAAAAGCCCATTCGCCGGCCTAATGGAGTTTGCTAAGCAGCAGTCTACAAATTACACTCTCCTATGAATCGGATAAACGTCGCTGCGAGAGCAAAAGAAAGGAAAAAGCAGCGGAATCGCTGCGCGCCCCTACACATATATATAGATTCGAGCGGAAAAAACAAAAGCAGAAAGAAGCGACGCACGCGACCCTTTTGCTGCGCTGCTGGCTCACCCAGCTCGATTTCGAGTCCACCACTCGTTTCTTTGTTGCGCTTTCGACCCTTAACGCATGCCTCGGTCCCGAAAGATCCTTCGGCAATTAAAAGTTCCCCCCCGTGCAGTATTTGCCTCGACCGATGGGCAATATAATAGACGAGAGCGGCAAAAACTCGTTACCGAGCTACCGCACCGAAAGTGGATTTTCCATGCGCAGCGCGACGAGAGCTTTTACCGCATTCGATTTGCATAAAAAAAAAAAAAAACATTTTTTACAAATAAAACGAATAACACCAATGAAAATTAATTCAATCGTTTTTCTCTCTTTCTTCTTCCGCAGAGCCAAAGAAACGACGCTTCCACCCGCTGCGGGGATTGCGGCGGATATTTCGCAAGAAGAGCCGTGGCGCCGCGGACGCCGGCGGCAGTGGCAGCGCAGGCAGCAGGCCGAGCTCGAGCAGCGCCGAGCGCGGCGACCCGAGCGCCAACGGCGTCGTCGGCGGCGGCGGCAATGATCATCATCTCATGTCGATGATCGTCCGGGACCGCGAGGAGGTGACGCTGCGCGACCCGTCGGGCAGGGCCAGCGACGAGATTCGCAGCAGGAGCGCCAGCGAGCTGCTCACCGAGTCGTCGTCGTCGTCCTGCTCCGATCGCGATAGGTAAGTGCGACGAAATTGGAATGTTGAAATTCATCGAGTTCGCGTCTTGATTTTTTTTGTCTTTTCCACTCCAGGATGTTCCTGCGTCGTCGCGGTATGGAGGACTCGTTCTCGCAGCTGCTGCAGAAGGGCGGCGCCGTCGTGGGCCAGCTGTCGGTCTCGCACGACAGCGTCTTCCCGGGCGAGGGCTCGGGTCAGCGCGCCAGGCCACTCTCGTCCTCCCTCGAGATGCACGCGAGTCTTGAGGTATTACACACGCATACGCACTTATTAAATAAACAGTTTTATGACTGGAGCCAAATTGTCTATTTATATCGGGCTCTACGCTCGTTTATCGGCGCTGCAATTACAATCGCCTCGATTGTTGTTGTGTGTGTTGTGTACGTTGGCGTGCGCGACGCGCGAGAAAGTTGCGCGCCGATTTATTTGTTGTGTATATACTGTACTAGCAAGCCGGGCTATTATGCACATCGTTGAGCACAACAATGGCTATTTTCGCTGCAGCCAAGTTTATATACTACACACACACACACAGACACACTCTTGCGCATTGTCCGTGTGCAGTGCACAACACACACAGCTTGCCTAATCTAGCATAAATAGAGAAAAAGAGATAAGAAAGTTTTCTCGAATGTGTTTGCCTTCGATCGCGGTAGCGTAAAATTTGCACCACTTTGTTGCTCTCATACACGATATCGTGCAAATACGAGTTGTATTCTAAAAAGCTCTCTTTCTCTCTCTCTCTCTCTCTCTCAACGATGAGAGGAGTCGATTGTGCGTATACGAAATAAAAAGTAAATCAATCGTTGGGATTCTGCGTGGCCTCGGACGCGGGGAGCTATAAAGTTGAATAATAATCGACATTTAATTGCTGCGCATCGCGTCCGAAAATGCGTGTACTCGTTTATCGCGTACACGTGATCCTTATCCGTCGACGAACAAAATGAAACTCAACGAACAGCAGCAGCAGCGGCAGTCGAAGGTGTGCGCGAGCCATAGCTACTACTACGCGCGTTCCGTTCTGATACACTTTGAAAGCTGAAAAGAAGAGTCCGAAGTTGTACATATCGAGGCGCATTAGGATCATCGCGATTTTGTGCTCCTCGTTCAAATGCACCGCCAGCAATTGCAGCAGCAGCAGCAGCAGCTCGCTCTCGATATCGTGCGCCCGTGCGATAGCCATCGATTTTCGCGTTTATGCGCACGCCTCACGCGCGCTTTTCATATATATTGTATTTCGCTCTTGTTTCTATGATCGGTACGAGTGCGAGGATCTTTGTTCGCCTCTTGCTCTTATTTTTAATTTTATTTCGGGCATGGATATGAATGAAAAAGTGCGTGGCGCGAAGCGATCGAGCTTGCGAGAGCTTTTTTCGCGTGGAACGTCTCATATGACGTTTGGCGGGGGCTATGAAAAAGTTCAATGCAGATCGTCGTGTTACGCCTTCGACGCACGCCAATCTTTATAAATTTGTTTAAAGTTTCATCTTGATTATAAATGCTTAAATTCGTCTTGAATTGTAACAAGATTTATCGAAATAAATATAACGTCCTATTTGACTGAGAGCTTGTCGAAACCATCAACAGATGGAGTATTATGAATCCGCAAGTGACGAAAAAATTTCAGATCAGTATAACTAGTCGAGTCAAAACAATTTGGAACATCTTCTGATGTTTGTCTTATAATATTAAACATAACTCATGGCAAAAATACGATTGAGCTTTATTTTGATCGTTGAAATCGTTTGCAGCGGCGTTACGTGAAGGCCAGCAGCGCCTCGCCCGAGTCCAAGGAGCCACAGTCGACTCAACAAAAGCATCGGATATCTTTGAGGGTGCGTTCGCATATTGCCAATATACACAGCTGCCTTCCGCTTGAAATTTGAACATTTTTCTCAATTAATAATTTACCATATGTACTCGCAGGTACTCGAGCAAATCAAAACAGTCATAGAGAATCGGAATCAAGTAGCGGTCGCGGGTTCGACCGCCACAGCGGCAACAACGACGACGTCGGCAACGTCAACGACGACTGCGACCACGACGCCCGATGGCTTCAATTCACTGCACGTAAGTGTTGCTTACGCTTACCCGCTTTAAGAGCTGTATATCGACCTTGCCCAGCCGTCATCGGTCCGATACGATCTCGAGCTGTATTCCGTACCGCATATAGATTGACTTTTGTCTTCGTCTAGGACGATCGCAGGCGTTTGCAATTACTCGCGGAAACGATCGGCAATTATATACGACGAGAGGGAAAATGAATCAATTACACTCGAGGATATATCGCCGTTGCTTACGAATAAAAACACAGTGAAAAACGCTACGAAAAAAAACATACTGATAAAATGCCCCGAAAAAAAACACAGCTCATTGAATGCTGTGAAAAAAAACACACCTCATCGGAGCGCCACGAAAAAAAACACACCTCATTGAATGCCATGAAAAAAAACACAGCACATTGGATACCGTGAAAAAAAACACAGCTCATTGGATGCCGCGAAAAAAAACACAGCTCATTGGATGCCGCGAAAAAAAACACAGCAGAATAAAAACGCAACAAATTTCGATTCGGTGTGTTTTTTTTTCGCGGCATCCAGTGAGCTGTGTTTTTTTTCGCGGCATCCAATGAGCTGTGTTTTTTTTCGCGGCATCCAATGTGCTGTGTTTTTTTTCATGGCATTCTATGAGGTGTGTTTTTTTTCGCAGCGCTCCGATGAGGTGTGTTTTTTTTCGCAGCGCTCCGATGAGGTGTGTTTTTTTTCGCAGCATTCCAAAGAGGTGTGTTTTTTTTTCATGGTATCCAAAGAGGTGTGTTTTTTTTCACGGCGCTTCGATGATGTGTGTTTTTACTCGTAAGCAACAGCGATATATACGCAAAATAGACGATCGAATCGGTATCCATTTCTTTTTCGCGTTGGATGTTCGCGAGAATTCAGGCTCTAATCAAGCCTTTAAATTTCTACTTTTCTTGACATTTTTCCTTCGCCTTCTTCCTTTTTTTTTTGTGAAACCAACGAGAGGGGGATCATTGTTTTTTTCTTCTGGCCACCAAGACTGCACACACGCGCCTTCGATTACTCATTACACTTTCCAATAATACACGCGTACGCACGCACGCGATCGCGTCTGGCTTTTATATTATACATGCACTACTATAATGCGTGCGCGCACAGATCTTTATATCATGTGCATGTGTGTGTATTTACGCGAGTGAATCGCGCGTCTCGTTTAGTATAAATTATGCGCTTAGGCTAGGCTTTTCTTTTTCTTCGCGCGCGCATTTCGTTTTTGTTTTCTCGAGTATAGCTGCGTATCGAAGTGTATAATACCTGCGAATTTCCAGTGCTCAGGCCGTATATCGATTCGAATTCAATGACTATAATAATGTACTCGAGCGCGTGCACACGTGTTTTGTTACGTCTTATCTTTAATTTTCAATATCGATCGATGCTCTCTCTCTCTCTCTCTCTCTCGGGACTTTATTATTATTTCAATTCTCGTTATCAAAAAGTTCATTTAGCTGTATCATCAAGAGACGCTTGTTATAATTTTCGGCCTCCGCGTCGCAGGCCAAGTTTATTTATCCGAGAAGCGTCGATGAGTCGCCGTTTCTCCTCCTCCTATGCATTATTACATTATAAGCAGGTTAACGAGCTCGTTGACGACGATACTCGCGCGGCCTTACTTATACAAAAAAAAAAATCGCCCGAAATGTTCGAAATCCTCGTCTCTCGCGACTATATTAACTAAACTCTCTCATCCTTTCACGCACGCACAAAAAAAGGACACATATTAGTAGTAGTAGTAGTAGTAGTGGAGGCACAGCCGAACGACATCCGGGAAATCGCTAATAAAACACACGGCTCGCGCGCGTCTGCATATAATGCGCAGCAGCAGCATCGAGAGTAGTGTATCTCGCCGCGAGTTTTAATCATCGCGAAATTTGCCGCGAAAACGAGCGCAGCACGCGCGTATCGTTTTTTTCGCTCGCTCGCTCGCTCTTGATCATCGTTGCTCCCTCTCGTTCTTGCTTGCGATATATATTTCGCTCGCTCCGGAGCGCGCGCGCACGCTGCCGCCGCACGTTCGGGATTTCCAAGTGCTATCTTGGCGCGGCTATTATACATATATATATGCGTGCGTATGTATATGTGTATTGCCCGAGCGCAGGAAGGAGCAAAATATAGCATGTATAGAGTTGTGTGTGTGTATCGGCCAGCCAACAGCTGATATAATGCAGTCAGTCAGTCGCGCAGACGCGCTCTACTACGCTGCACGTATACATATTTTCATGAAATTTGTAGCAGCGGCGCGCGTACTCGTTCTTCTTGAGTCGTGTGTTTTCAGTGCAGTTCGTTTACCGAAAATTGACGCGGGTGTGTGTGTTTTGCGTGCGTCGATGTGACCGAAGAAAAGCCCAAAAACCGAAAAAAGGGAAAATGCCGAAGAATCGGCAATCGACGTCGTCGTCGCTCTCGTCGTCGACGAGGCACGAATGTAACGAGTGAAAGTGAAGATTTTTAATAATAATATGTGCTTACTCGCCGTGGCAGTGCCGAGTTGCACTTGATTGTCGCGCGTGTGCGCCGTGTCGCTTCGATACAAAAGTGAAAATATCGTCTTTTACATTATCAAAGATGAAGAGGTTCAAGCAGTTTGTGGTTAAAATGGGGGTGAGGCTCTCTCTTCCTCTTCTTATAATACACTTCTATACGTTTTTTTTTTCGCGAGCCGATCGCGACTAAATAACAATAATAATATAAGCTCCGTGCCACATGTGTCACGTATATAAGAGAGCAATCGATATTTTCGTGCCATGCCGATAAAGTGACGCTTTTTTTTTCTTTTTCGTCAATTGTTCGAAGCTCGATCGGGCACGGGCGTAATCGCGCGCGCTCAACCACTGTCATTGTATCATCATAAAGCGGTCATTATTTCATCGATCGATCGTCGTAGTCGTCGACGCGAGCACACAAATTGGATTTCATTCAGTCGATTTGTTGTTGCGTATAGTCGCGGAGTTTATAACAATGCGCGCGTGCACACGATTCGAGATGGCTAAAGAGTATCGATTTCTCGCGATAAAAAACCAGCAGCTAGGCAGCAGCAGCGATCGTCGGTAGTCATCCTTGCGCTCGGCGAATGGATCATCGTTCTCTGCGTTGTAGTGACGTTATGCGAAAAATTCTTCGTCGCGATTTACATAAACACAGAGTCTCGTCGCGAGCGCAGGTGTGCGTGCGTATAATCTTTTTTTTTTTTTTTTTTTTTTTTTATGAATATGTATAGATATAATAATGCTATACGCTCGTGCGCACGTCGTCGTCGTCGGTTACATAGTCACCGGCTGACTGTATATTATTGTATATATAAGCAACACTTGCTTGTTTCTGCCTCGTACTGCATCAGCGCGTGATCAATTTTGTTCGATTGACCGATCGCAACTGACTAATACCACCGAACTCATCGCGATATACACGTACTCGTGTATTGTATATGATATATCTGAGTTGTTTCTTTTTTTTTATCTGTCTCCGTCTTTCTCTGTTGCAGAATCGCTTCGGCAGTCGAGATAGAGGCGAGCGCACAATCGACAATACACAAGAAAAAGTGAGTAATGCCATCTCTTGATATAATATACATACAATTCGTAAGTCTGTGTAAGTATAATGCACGTGTACGAGCGCGAGCATGAGTGTGAAGTCAGGATATAAGCCGATAGTAGCAAGTACCACTGTTTTTTTTTTCTTCTTTTCGTGTCCAGCAGCGGCGGCGCGAGTTACGCATACTTTCGCACTCGCTGCTGTACGCGCGGTGGTGATTCGACACTGGGTTTCTTTTCCTAACGCTTACACATGCACACGAGCGTGTATATGCATAAATGCTCCGAAGGCTGTGCGCGTATACAATTTAGCTGCTTGTTTTGTTAACCGATTCGGCTGCTGCTGCTGCCGCTGTTGCCTGCCGCTGTCTGCGCGCGATAATAATGCGACGATAGTAGCAACAGCAGCGGCAGCGAGCCGACGTCGTCGTCGTCGACAACAAGCCAGTTAATTCATTTTCGATCGTGCGAAACGTCCCTGCAGCCGATCACGTTTTTTTTTTTTTGCAATAATAATAATAATAATCAAGCGATCCCGAAAGCATAGCGAAGAAATGGAACGAAATCCGCGACCTTGCGCAAAAGATTTTTATTAGCCTATTCGGGAGCGAGCGCGCGCGCGTGCCTCGTTTAGATAAAGAAATACCGAGCGAGCGCGACTCTTTCCGGTGGCACGAAAAAAAAAATGCACGATGATGAATGCGTGTGTAATGCAGTTTGCATATTGTATTCTTTACACTTGAAAAAAAAAAACTTCATATATAAATCAGTGCTACTCTAGGCCATCGACGAATGAGAAAAACGAAAAGGAGCCGTGATTTTTCCACGAATCACGCGTACGCTCGGCTCGAGGTCCCAAGATGCGGGTGAAAATATAGTCCGAAAAATTATTTATGTGGCGCTGCTGCTGCCGAACTGCTCCGTAAGCCGCAGCGTAATATCATACACTTGCAAGTGCAGCGCGCGTAAACGCACGTACATGCGCGACGATCGCGTATACATACAGGAAAAACCTTGAAAATCATTGGAGCGAATAAAAAACGTGCTCTCGCGAAATTGCCGAGTGTGTGCGCGCGCTTGTGTGTGCCATTAGCCGACTCACTGCTGTTGCTGTTGCAGTGTGTGCATGTGTGTGTGTGTGTGTGTGTGTGTGTGTGTTGATTGTCGGGCGTGCGCGTCGCGGGCCGTGTATGGCGCACTATATACACGATGCAGCAGCAGCAGCAGCACATGCGACGACAACCTGTGAGATTTGTGTACAGAACCTGTGCTCGCCCCGTGTGCTCGCGGAGGATATCGCTCCGTACTTTTGGCCTACTGCTGCGTGCAGTTTCGCGGATGTGTGTCATCGATCTCTCTGTGTGTGTGTATGCGTGTATTTTATTGCCCTGCTATTGACCTTTTTTTTTCGTTCGAATTGCGCATTCTAATTTTTCAAAGATAAACACCAGCTCCGAGATCGATGACTAGTCGTACTATACTCGTACATATACTAATTGGTTAAAAAACATCGTTTTCCTTGCCAAGCTATACACCCAGATCAAAACACACACGGTAATAAATCGAAATCTCCCTCGTTCCGCTCGAGAACGTCGCGTATAGAAAACGAATAATAACGAACGCTTTTGATTTCGTATTTCTCCGAATCAAGCTCGAGACGGGGCGAGCGACGTAGTAGTAACCCACAAAAGCTTCCATATAATAAATCGGCATCGCTCGCTCTCCGACACTTTCATTTCGTTCAATAAAATCCGTGCCATTTCGATCTATTTCCAACTTTACATTATGTATATTTTCTATTTATAAGAGAGGTGGACTGGAGCGAAAATTAGCCCGCATTCGTGGCGAAACCAGTCGAGTTTTGGGGTAATTAAAATTTTTTTTTTATTTTCGAGTTATTGCAAAAGTCGATGTTCGTTCGAATTTACGAAGCACTGCATCGCCCGTAGATAGTAAACGGACGTTACCGTCGGAGCCGATAAAGTAGGAATTGACCGTATAATGAGAAAACGTACCAGGCCAGTCAGGATAAAACAGCGAGTATTGAGTTTCTCGAGATTTCTACGTAGATGGCTCTAGTTTCTGTTTACAAGCGTCGAGCTAAACTTCGAGTAATTAGAGTGCAGTTTATTATGCATATTCGTGCGTTGCTGAATGAATACAAAATTTGAGATATTTCACATCGAACGATTGGGTGGTTATACATAAATTAATTAAAACTCAATTTTTACATGCTTTATTTAAATCGGATGCATACATACATACACCACTGAATGACAATAAAAGTGCATACAACACCAAATAACACAAGACGTAAAAAAATGCACGAAACGTATGCCGAAGCGTCGCCATCTCGAGATCCGGCCTCTCAGCGTCGATCTCGCGTTCCTCGGTAGACCTTTGCCGTGCAGCCGCCAAGCAAACGTTGCCCAAATCTTCGTTCTCCATCCGATCGAGGATCATTTCGCAGCACTCGACCGGCAGCCGATACCTGATCAACTGCATGAAAGGCTCCAGCGCCCAGGAGTGATAAAATCCTCGCGACAGCTTCTCGCACAGGTGCGCGGAGCAAGCCTCGCGATACTTCTCGGGCAGCACGCGCAAACCGTACGTTATGCACCCGAACTTGTAGTAGTCGTCGTACTCGAGTCGTTTCGCCGCCTGCTTGGGCGTCAGTCGAATCGAGTCGTGAAGCGACAGACCCCGCTTCATCATCAAGACCTTTGCCGCGTTCGCGAACTCCTCCTCTTCGTGCCAAAGTTCGCCGATATCCGCGGACTTTTTGAACACTTGGTGCTTGGCGAATACCTTCATTAACGTCATGGCGTCGCTTCGGTTTATCTCGTGTCCTTTTGTTTCGAGAAGCTCCACAACGGTCAGAGCGCCGGACACTACTCTCAATTTGAAACGAATATTGTGATAATTTTCGTGGTGAAATAATTCTTCAAAGTCACTCTCGTTGGGAAAAACAAAGTCGGATAGATCAGCAGCACCTCGATTCAAAAGCGTATGGACGACTCTCGGCTTGATAGTTATCACAGCCCAATCCAGCGGTGTGCGGCCCTCGTTGTCCCGGGCATCGATTCGCACGTTTTTTCCGCCGTAATGCAACACCGACGCCGCAGCGTAGTCGCATTCCGTGAATTTTTTACTGATCACGTGCAGGGGTGTCGAGCCCTCCGCGTTGGTCGCCATCGTATCGGCGCCGTGTTCCAGCAGCGACTTGACGATGTCCGTGTTGATGAATATGTCCCTCAGAGCCAAGTGAAGCGGCGCGTCGCTCGTCGCTGGGCAGGCGAAATTCGGATCTGCCCGGCCGAGCTCGAGATACTTTTGCACGACTGCGTCGCAGCCGTACTCGCAGGCTATGTGAAAATGCGTACGGCCGAATTCATCGACGGGGTTCGCATCGAACGTGTTGTATATTTGAAAAAGTTTACCTATGCGATCGGCGTTCGACAGTACCGCCGAAACCTTGCCGCATTCGCCGCGCCTCGACGCTAGGTGTATCGGTGTGGTGCGGGGCACAAGTGGATTGCCGTCCTCGTCGGCTTCGAGCGCGATCTTGTAGCCGCTGAGCGCCACGAAATTGATGAATCGTTTTCCGTAAACGTAATTTCTATCCTTGAACGTGTACTTGGCAGCGTCCAAGAGAAGAATCTCAATTTCTTCGGGACGAAAGATATCCAAGAGATGTGGAAGTTCTTCCTCCCAGTTTCTGATTATGTGGTTAATTTCCCAGAAAAAATCATGTCGATCTTGCTCGATGCTCCAATTGACCTTTTTACGCTTATCCTTCAAAGTTATGATTTTGATAAGAATTTGTAACCACCGACTCATCATCGTTTTGCGCACTCACACACGACACACGATCGCCAACAATTTTAACCAATTTTTAAAGACTACTACACTAGAAGCACATGGTCAAGACTGAGAGATCCCATGTGTAGGCGTGTGAAAACATGTGCGCGACGAAAAAGAGAAAGGCATTTTTCGGAGTAGCAGTAATTAGGTTGAATTTGACTGTCACAGTGCTCTCTGATGCAGCATCCAAATTACCCGTGAAATTCAAATTTATATAAAAACGCCGAAAAACGCCGATTTAAATTTCTATTGAAAAAAATTGATTTTTTTTTTTTTTATTAATTATTATTATTATTTTATTTTATTATTGGTTATTTATTCAATTTTTTTAATTTAATAGCAAACTCTAACTTTAACTCTAACGAGAGCAAAAAAAGTGTCTACAATAAAAATTTATATTTGTATAATTAATTTCAATTTCGCGGGTACTTTGAGCGTTGCTTTTGAGAGCACTGCATTGAATGAGACTATATTGAGTCCGGTCTGCAACTTCATGTATTCGTTTCCGTTATTGTTATTGTTTAGTATTACAAGTTTTTGAAGCTGTTAATAATATATTACAGCCCTGGACTGCGAAAAACAGAACATTTCTTCAATCTTTCTTCTTCAAGACATACGGAATACAGTTTCAAAAGTTGAAATTTGTACCCAATCATTTATAAATATTATTTCTGCCAACTAAGTTGATGCATAATTTATTCTATGCAGTTGAACAAAAGAAAAAAAATGACTTCCAAGTTTTGATACTTTCTGATTTGACAGTGTACATACTTGGCCTAAAAAAACTATAATAATATTCTTATCTACACGTTGAAACGCTTGTACAACATTCATTCTTCTATCGGGCTCGAGCCTTGAATTAAAATAAGATCCCTTCACCAGCGATGAGAGCTGCGACTATACGGTTTAACCCTGACATACGAGAAAAATGGCAATGTGCGTGTGCCTGTCTTATCAACGCTTTACGCTGTAGATGGATCGGAGCTCCGTCCATAACGACGAAATATATTTTTTTTTCTCGCTCCCCGACAATAATGAGAAAATAACTGGATTTGAAAATATGATTTTTACAATAATCTCGTGCCCGATAACGTACAGGCAATATCCACTCGGAACTTTCTCATATTATTATGCAGTATTGTAC